ACAAAGTGATTATAAGAAAATGTCTCAGACACTTAAAGAAATAAACCTCAAGACCTCTGTAAAGTGCAATTGTTCAAAACTACTTACTTCATATCAGTTCTGGATAACTGAGTTTTCTATGTGAATTTTCATTTCCTCTGGTGTCTCAGTTTTATGGGCAGTTTTATTTCACCACAGAGTTGAAATCAGATGATCAACACCATCCAGACTAAGGCCTTTATTCACACTAAGCTTATAGGGACAAAGTTTAATACTTACTCTCTAAATAACAAAAAAACCAAACAACCCCCCCCCCCAAATCAATACCCATAGCAACAACAGCTATTTTTGCTCAATGTGATCTAATACCAGGTGCTCTACAGATAGTATGACTAATTCTTAAACTAACTTTGTTGTTGTTTTTGCTGTTATATGTGGTTGCGTTGGAAGCAACTCATAGCTAAGGTTTTCAGAAGCAGTAGATCACACGGGAGGAGACTTCCTGTCTTTCTCCTGTGGAGCTGCCAGGAGGATGTGAATTGCATGCCTTTCACTGGCAGGACAACTCTGTACCCACTAGGTCACCAGAGTTAGCCAAACTAGGTGTGTGTGGGAGGGGTGTTTGGTATCCCCATTTTACAGGTAGAAGGCTGAGTGTTAGAGGAAAAGAAATCTGTCCATGTTTACTTAGGCTGCAAATACAGATCAGTGTGGCTTCTTTTCATGGCCACCTTTTCCTACTTGCAGATGAAGACAGGTCTCTAAATCCTTGGTGAGATTCAAAGATTTTTCAGATAAGGATGGCAACTTACTAGATTTGATCAGATAGTTGTAAGCTTAAGGAGACACATAAGAAAGGATCAGATTTTCCCTCAAGCCAATTTTATTATCTCAACCCATCACCATCCTTCTTCTGATCACCTGTCTCAGGCATATGAATTCTCACACAGCTGGCTCACCTTGTAGTTAATCTCCACTCCTGAATAAACAGTTCAAACTATTGAGGGAGGCTATGGGAGAAGGTGCCCGTCAGAAAAGGGGATATTTTATTTTAACTCAGGGGTAAAACGAACAGAAAAGTTGTCTTTTATCATGAATGACACTACCCATTTCTCATATTTGTATCTAGTTTGCAATAAAAAATTTTAATTTTTCTGCCAGTCTCTTATTTACTTTCCTTAGATTCATGAGAACAAATCAGGACACAAAGAAAGTAGTGGCAGCATTTGGAACAATTATTCATAAATGATTTCTGACTGTCGGGGAGCATGGGGACAAATAAACAGCAAAGGAAGCAGGATAACGTCACAAGGTTCACTTACTGTGCAAACAGCCCAGCTGGGGTACAAAGTCTGCCACACTCACTTGTCCCTGGGACCTTTTCACATAGCATTTTCAATAGGTTTCACTTCTATCAGAAAATTAGTTCTAAGTACTAAGACAAATGGTTGTTCATTTTGTCAAAATATGCTTTGGAGGAACATATGAGAAATTATTGTGAACTTTACTTCACCCTATCTTCCCAAACGTGCTCTCTGAGATGCCTAACACATCATAGGAAATGCTTCAGTGTTTTTCACAAGCCAGGGATTATGTACGAATGCAAATACTCCTGAGCTTGGTCGTTCATTAGTTACTTATACCTTAGAGAGGGAGTTATGTTGGCCTAGTCATTAGGGAAATGAGCTGCTAACTGAAAAAACATACCTTCTTGCAGTTCACATCAAGTGGCTCCATGGGAGAAAGGTGGACAATCTCTCCCTGCGCAGTTTACAACTTGGAAAGTTGCTGGAGGGTCAGCTATGAGTCAGTTCCAACTTGATGGCAATAAGTTGGATTTGAGTTTTAAATCAGAGTAAATTTGACCCAAAGGTAAACATTCTGAGGAACACTTTTATAGGAGAAGACTGCTCATTTTTTTCTTGAGCTATTGATGGATTAAAATCACTGGTCAGTAGCTTCAAAAGTTGTGAAATATGCTAACACATTTCCCTTTTTCATCATAGCTAATATTTTGAGTACTTCTTGTGCTAGGGAGCCTAGATGGTAGGGAGTTGCGCTGCCAACTCAAAGACAGATGGCTCCGCTACTCCACAGGAGAAAGGTGGGCAACCTCTTCTGTGTGATTTACAGCCTCTGAAAACCTGTTGGAGTGTCACCTATAAGTCATTTGACTTGACAGCAATGAGTTGTGTTTTTCTAGTATATTTTTGGGTGTTTTTTTTCCCCCTTACATGCAAGGCACTGTTTTAAGATTTCATGATAATAAATCTCTATATGGTATATGGTATGTAGTCTTATTATTCCCATTTTACCCATGAGAGAAATGAGGCATGCAGCAGTTAAGAAACTGTCTAAAATTATATGCACCCAAATTGCAAGTTTTAACACTTGTTTTGCAAATCACTCTACCACTCAACTCTTTTTCAAAGGCATGTTGGAAGAAAGGGCTTAAGGCCTATAGCTATAATTTTATCATGTTATTATACCAACAACAAACTACAAGAAAGACTCAGGATTTGTTTGAAACTGGTTACTGACAGAATTCTATTCTGCTTATAATTGTCTGAATATCAGCATAATGGAAGAAGTTAGAACAATATCAACTACAGCTACTTACAATGTATGCTGTGGTGGCTAAGATCACTTTTGTCATTCAACATCATGATCATAATTATTATCATCACTTATTGAGAAAATTCCAGGTTCCAGAAACCATGTATACTGTTGCTGTTATGTGCTGTTGAGTTACCTGCGACTTATAGAGACCCTATGTACAAGAGAACTATACCCTGCTCTATGCTGTGCCAACTTTATTGTTTCTGACACACCTATGTCCATTACTCTAGTCACTAAATCAATCCATACCATCAAGGGTCTTCCTCTCCTGTGCTGTTCCTCCACCCTGCCAAGCATGACATCCCTCTCCAAGGCGGATGTCATGAACATGTCCAGAGTATGTCAACGAAGCTTCAGAATTCTTGCCTCCAAAGAGCAGCCTGTTCTTACCCTCTCTAGGATAAACCTGTTTGTTTTCCTAGCAGTTCATGGTATATTCAATACTATTCTCCAGCACCACAATTCAAAGGCATCAATTCTCTTTTTTATCATCCCTAGTCATTGTTCAGCTTTCTGACACATAGCAAGTAATTGCAAAGACCATGGCCTGGATCAGGCACACCTTAGTCTCCAGACTGATGTCGCTGCTCTTCAGTACTTTTGAGAGGTCTCTGACAGCAGACATCCCCCTATGCAATTTATCTTTTAATTTCCTGGCTGCTGGTACCAAGAATGTTGACTGTGGAGCCAAGTAAACTGAAGCTGTTAACAATCTCAATCCCTTCACTATCATGATACTGTCAATTGGCCCAATGGTGAGAATCTTTGTTTTCAGATGTTGAACTTCAATCCATATTGAAGGCGGCAAACCTTGACCTTTTCCAGCAAGCACTTCAGGTCTTCCTCAGTATCAGAAAGCAAAGTTGTGCCATCTGTGTAACGCAGGTTGTTGATGAGTCTCCCTCCAAATCTGATGCAACATTTCTTCTCATACAGCCCAGCCTCCCAGATAATCTGTTCTGTGTATAGACTGAAAAGGTATGGAGATATAAGACATCCCTGATGTACACCTTCCCAATTTTAAAACATGCAGTGTTTCCTTGCTGTGTTCTTATGACTGCCTCCTGGTCCAAGTACAGGTTTTGCATAAGCATGATCAAGTGTTCTGGGATTACATCCTTCTCAGAGTTAGCCACAATTTGTTGTGATCCACACAGTCAAATGCCTTTGTATATATATAGTCAGTGAAACACAGATAAACAGTCCTCTGGTACTCTCTGCCTTCAGCTGAGAGTCATCCAACATTAGCTATAATATCCCTAGTACCACGGCTTCTTCTAAACCCAGCCTGCACTTCTGTCTGTCAGTTCTCTGCTGGTATGCTGTTCCAGTCATTTTTGGATAATTTTCAGCAGAATCTTGCTTGCATGTAAAATTCATGATATTGTTCAATAATTTCTGCACTCTGTTGGGTAACCTTTATTTGAAATGGGAACAAATATAGATCTCTTCTAGTCAATTGGCCAGGTTGTTGTCTTCCAGATTTCTTGGTACAACTTGGTGAGCACATCCAGGACAGCATTTTTTGTTGAAATATGTCAATTGGTATGCTGCCAATTACTGGGGCCTTGTTTTTTGCCAGTTCCTTTAAGGCAGCTTGAACTTCTACTCAAGTGATCTTATTTAACACTGCCAAGGTCATTTGTTTTAACATTTCCGATTCCTGCTTTTGTGCTACATGGTAGAATGTGGTAGTCACAATAGGACCAGAAAAAGTTTGGCAATATCTTTCTTAAACTAATCTGAACTCAATGTTATCAAGTTTACTCCAACTCATGACAATTTTATAGGACAGAGTAGAGCTGCCCCCACATCATTTAAAAGGCTGTAATCATTACCTAATGGGGCTAAGTCCATAGCATGTTGCATTGCCAACCAAAAGGCTACACATCTCTGGGGGTCTGAATTCACCAGCAACTCCTCAATAAACAGGTGGACAGTCTTCTCCCACTAATATTTACAGAACCAGAAACCTGATGGTAGCTCTCTAGGAATCAGAACTGACTTGACAGCAATGAGCTTTGAATCCTCACTGTTTTGTTCCAGAGCAGTGAGTAAGTAAGAACTAACAATCTTCCAGTTAACAGCCAAACACTCACCCATTGTGCCACCTGGGCTCCTTTCATTTACAGATGAACATATCAGAATTCACAAAAATTAGAGGACTTTCCCAATAATAATCATCAATTATTAAGGGACAATAATATTGATAAAAACTAAGTTCTAGAGGATTCAAGGACTTTATTTTTCCATCTCTGAGACTTATAATTTTTGTAGTAACCAGTTGTACAGCAGATTTTTCTAACATGTGGTTAACAAGTCTATTCTAATCAAACACTAGTGTTAAACATTCTCCTTTGTTATACATTTTCCTTGCCACAGAGATATTAAATTCCACTTACCTTCTGATAATTTATTGTACTTAATTCCTTGAGGGTGGATGCTTACAGATTTTTCTGCCTTATTCTTAAAGTGAACTTTCATTGTGTCTCCAACTTCAGCATATAAAGTAGGTCCAAGAAGTCCTGTGGAAACAAGAAATAGAACTACTGTTGGACCCAGCAATTCCACTATTCGGAATGTACCCTAAAGAAACCAGAGCTGGCACTAAACATATATATGCACACCTATCTTTATTTCTGTGTTATTCACAGTATCAAAGAGATGGAAGCAAACCAAGTGTCCAGTAGGAAATGAATAGATAGAAAAACTATGGTATATCCATACAATGGAATACTATGCACCGCTGAAAAACAAAGAACTCAAAAGCATAATACAACATGGGTGATCCTGGAGGACATTATACTGAGTGATATATCTGAGTCATGAAAGGACAAATACTGCATAATACTATTAAAAAACAGGACTGACTCAGGGGGTTGGGGGGGACTAGGAAAAGAGGGGATAGATAATGAACCCCGCATCAGAACAGATTAAGGAAAGAACTGCTTAAAAGGGATATATGATTAGGCATTATTTGTATGACAACCATCCAGAATAAGAGGTACATTGTAAAGTGGACTTGGGGAGGAGTGTGTGGGGAAGAGGAAATTGTGCAACAATGAATGAATGAATGAAAATCCCATTTTTCTGAAAACATTTGTTAAAATCACAATTAAAAAAAAAGAATTTCTAATTAAAAAAAAAAGCCAAACTAACTAAAATATTTTAGAAAGATCTGGTAGGGATCTGGAAAGACAGGCTAATGGTGGGTATAGTTCAATGGTGATTAATTTTATAAAATAAATGAATGGAAATGATTGTATGAAACACAAAGTGAATGAAGGAGAGTGTGAAACACAACATATACAAACTTTGTGTGAAAACCAATATAAAATAAAACTTTTTAAAAAAAAGGTTAAGGAAGTTTTAAAAAAATTAAGAGAAGAATTTAAAATGTGACAGTGTCAAGGATCACCAAAGAAAGAGCTGCTGAATAAGAAAAACATGCAGGGACACAAGTCCTAAAGGTAATTGTTGTCATTCCTCCTAGTCTTGAGGTTGATCTTCACTGCAGAAGGCTTTACTCATTAACTCTAAATAATTTGAGATGAGATAACATCAAGGATAGTAACACTTCACTCACTTGGACCCAAAGCAAGTCATGCATGGAGGAAAAGTAATTTACAACTCCTTATAACTCATTGACTTTCTTACCTTTGATCAATGAAATAAAGAGGTTAATTTTCCATTTGTACAGGGGGAAATGAGAGATAGTGCTACTTTAGATCCCTCTAAGGAGATCTCATTTAATCAGAGACTTAAGTAAGAAAACAAATCATATAGCTCTTTGGTTCTGAAGAAAGTTCAAAAGGCCCTGAGTCAGAAGTGAACTGAACCAGTAAGAAAAACAGTGTGGGAAGAATAGGAAGAGATGATGGTTTAGGGGTTGGGAGAGCAAAAATCTTCAATAAAATCCTGACCAACAAAACCCAACAGTACAGATAAAATCCTGACCAAGAGAACCCAATAGTATATATAAAAATAATTCATCATAACCAAGTGGGATTCACAACAGGTATCCAAGGATGGTTCAACATAGCAAAAACAATGTAACTCATCACACTATCAAAGCCAAGATTAGTGGCAAGAAGTTGCACTGCAATCCTTAAGGTGTACAGTTTGAATCCACCAGATGCTCTGCTGGAGAAAGAGGAGCAATCTCTGCTGTGTCTGTCGTATCTGATTCAAAGTTACACAACAAGAAAAAAAGAAAAAAAAAAGAATACAAGAAAAGTTTTCCATAGGGAGCTCTGGTGGCCTAGTCACAAGAGGCTGTGCTACAATCCTGAAGGCATGCAGTTTGAATTCACCAAATGCTGGAGAAGGAGGTACAATCTCCTCCTGTGCCAGTCAGACTAGACTCGATGGTACACACACACACACACACACCCCCCACAAAGCAAAGAACAAAAACCACATGATCCTAGCCATTGATGCAAAAAGGCCTTTGACAAAATCTCACACCCCTTTCTGATTAAAACACTCAACAAAATAGGATTAGAAAGTAATTTCCTCAACATAGTAAAGAGTATAGATGCAATACCAAGAGCTAACATTGTTGTCAGTGGAGAGAAATTAAAGGCATTTCCTTGAGAATAGGAACTAGGCAAGGATTCCCATGATCACCATTCCTATTCAATATTTTATTGTAAGTCTTAACAAGAGCAATAATGCAGGAGAAGGAAATGATAGGCTTCCAAATTGGTAAAGAGGAAGTAAACTATCTCTATAAAAGATGATATAATAATATACTTAGAAAAGTCTAAAGATTAAAAAAAATCCTATTGGACAAAGTCAACCAATTCAGCACAGTAGCAGGATACAAGATCAACATACAAAAATCAGTTGGATTTTTCTACAGTAAAAAAGAGAACGTAGAAATGGAACTAAGCAAAACAAAAACAATTACAATAGCTAATTACAAGATTAAATACTTCAGAATAAATCTAAATATAGAGCACAAAAGATCTATACAAAGATAATTACAAAACATTACTGCAAGAAACAAAAGAGACCTAGAGAAATGGAGGAATATACCATGCTCAAGAGTTGAGAAAGAAAGAAAGGCCTGCGGTCCATGGTAAGGACTTTGGATTTTCTTTTTTTTTTTAATTTTATTTT